AAACCAATATTTCTTGACAAGGCGATGCTGGCTATCAAGAAGAATTACAACCTTGATCATTTTGAAAAATGACATACCTAGCTTCATAAGCAAAATCTGAGAGGTGAGAGAGCAGATCCACCCCTTACTCTGCTTGAAACTAAAACTCTGCTCCATTCCTTACTCTGAACTGAATCAAAATTCAGCTATAAATTAAAGGTAGTTAGTGCTGAACGTGAAAGTTTCATGCAAGCCTACACATGTATATATAGACAGTCATATTTATATTTATGGAAAAGTGTTGTACCACCAGGAATCTGAAATGTAGTACAAATTAGCTTGAGGTCACTGAGATATTTAACAACTGGAGTATCAGAATTGTGCATCTTAAAATTTCAAGGATATCTCACTTAAATGCATAAGGAGTGCTCTAATGGATGGATCCAAAGGTATATTAAATCCAAAACCTGATTGACTCTAGTAGCCAGCCAAAAGCCTATATGAAGCCTACCAAACAGCAAGATACTAAAGCAAAGGGTGTTGGAAATCAACTTTGCACGGGCCTATAAATGTCTTGACCACTAGGGGCAATAGAAGTTGAGAAAATTACACATGTATTAACCCTTTCCTTATCTATACTTTGCATACCTCTCCCTAACATGCCTCCAACTGGTTATGCTTAATCACTTCATCCCTCCTTCAGTTTTTTTTTTCTTTTCTTTCTTCTGTCTCTGACTTGGGCAGTTCAAGTACTTATTTCCTCTCTCTCCATATAGGAGGAGGGCACAATACAGGCTCTTGGCTGTAGACAGACTTAAATAATGTAACACTGTGTACTTTCCTAAATAACATCTATATTTTTCTCTCACACACACCAGCCTGATGAATATATATATATATATATTTATAAAAGTTATACTTCTAACTTTAGTGTTTCTCTCTCTGTGCATTCTTTCCACTGCATAAATCTATCTGCTATCCAACAAATAGATTTTCCTCTGAATCTGCTTACAGATATGCCCTACTTTATGAAGTGTCTTGAAATCTCCCACAATTGTTTCTTTTATTGTCCCTTCTTCCTCTCTTCTTCCCATCTCTCGTTCTCTTATTTTACTTTATCTGTTTCAAACCATATTCACAGGAATTTGCCTTCTGCTTATTCTTCCAAAACTTAATAATGGACTCAGCAGTCTTATTATTTGTGGATTACTGTGTTATCCATTATGGGCTTTTTTGTGGTTTCCTAATATTTTTGTATATTCAGGGAAGAAGCATCTGATCCTAGAGTGCATTTACTGCTTTAATTCAGAGTACATCCAGATGCTACAAGGAGGCAGTGGTTTGATTATTATTATTATTATAATTATTAAAATTTGAATAGTTATCTGGATTTAATTTATACCCCATATATATTGTTTCCATGTAGCTGTTTCATGGGTAATTTATCACATTTCCCCATCCTCCACCTTCTGCAGCATAAGGCAAAGAGTTTGCCTATGACATTCTATTTATTTTTTAAACATTAAAAAAAAATTAAAATTCCTTTAACAAGCTAGATCATGGATGAAGTACTTATCCCTCCTCCCCAATACCACCACAGATATAATTGAACTATAACTCTGAGCAGCCAAAGTCAACATGGCTATGAAGAATGCCTGAAGATGCAGTTTGGCAGTATATGGAGAATCCCAGGTGACCCACCTCTAGTGTGAAAAAGGATCTCAGATAAACATGTGCCATTCATCTGAATGATAACATTGTCCATCATTCAGTTCAGGAAGGTGCAGGCAATATGTGGCCCTACAAATACTGAATTGCAACTTCCATTTTCCATCATTGGCTAGACACAAAGGGACTCCATTTGGAGGGCCAGATATTGCCCATCTTAGTGTTAGAACCTCAAGATCTTATGTTTACACAAAAGCAATGTTAAATGAGCCTCCCCTTGTCTTTCCCTCACAGGTAATATGCAGATTCAGAACCACACCAAGATTATGAAGATTGAAGCAGAGAGGGAGAAGTTAAACCATTCTTCCCTTGTTGCTCTCTAGACAAGACCCTTTGAAGAGACGTTCCTTTTGCCTTTGCAATCCCAGTGATTAGCACATATGCATATATCAGAAGCCAATTGCATTTTTAAAAGGATGCATGCTAAGATGCCATTTAATATTGTTTCTAGAAGCTCTTTGGATCCCAAGATCCCTGTATATCATTAAAGGTTGCAACAAAAACTGCAAGTTCCCTAAAACAAAATACGAAATTGACAACTTTTCATTAATGCTGGAATACTAACAGGATAGTATTGGAATTGGCTATGTGCATCAGTGTGTAAATGCCAAGGGCATAGAGGAAGAATGCCCGCACCCCCACCCCCAGCATATTTGAGAATCCCCAAGGACAAACTGTAAGACCAGAGTTAAAGTGACCTAAGTACTATCACAAAAAGATCCGACAGAGTTCTGATATTCACATCTCAGCTTTTTTTTATTTAGGGGAGCCTTGTTTCCCCCAAATATTCAAAGAAATCATCTCCGTTTTCTTCCACTGCCAGCTTCTGGATAGTGTTAAAAACCAGCAACTTCCCAGTACCTTCTGTTCTCTGCTCCCTGCCACGTTTCCTTCTTATACTTCCCCAGACTTTCTGTTTGCTTCTCTGTTCTCAGTTTCTTTTGCCAAGTTGTGGGAAGCACACCAAATTTGGCACCAGGGAGTTCTCTGACTCCCTAATCTAAACAAATGGAAACAATTTGTTCACCCCAGAGCCTGGTGTAAGACATTATCCAGCTTTTCCTCCAATAACTTGAAAGGGCTACAGTAAAGCTGCTGACCTTGCTATTCTTCTCTCAGTGAAAAGCAAAAATGATTTTCTTTGGTCCTTCATTCCCCAATATTTAACCAGGAGTGGGGCCTTCACATTTCTCAGGAAACCCCCCTCCCCAGTTTCTAGCTAAACTCTGATTGCCAGCCAATCAAAATTTTTCCCTCTTTATTTAATTGCCAGAACGAAAAGGCGCAAAGCCAAAATAAATAAAGTCGACCCACTGTTCTCTATGGCTGGCATGAGACGTCGTACATCCAGAAGCAGCCTCGTGAATGCTCTACTTTCAAGTCAAGGGGAAGAATAGCCAAAACCAGCCAAGTTATTTTGTTATCTGAATCTGATACAAACTATCCCACAAAGTGTCTCCTCCCATACAGCAAATACACAAAATGACTAACACTTTGCTGCCCTCACAAAGGATCCAAAATTAGCTGATTGAGACATTCCTTTTCAACCTGTTTTTGAAAAGTAGCTGTGTGTGCAGGGTACAAATGCCACGGAGGCTCTATTCTAGGGTTCCTCTGAGACAACTGTGCCTCCCTTGTCTTTCAGTCACCAAACCCAAGACAGACCAAAGACCAAAGCAAAGTTCACCTTTTTGCTTCTGATTTCTGCATTATAATGGGGATCCTTGAAGATAGGATTGGTGGGGAGCAATACCCAAGCTGGTACACACCTGAAGCATATGTATTTCCCTTTCATGAGTGGTCTGCTTACAGAAAGCCAGGGCAGCAGAAGAGCATCAGGGCAATGAAGATGGGAACAGGGAATCTTACCATCACTTCAGCAGCCAAGATTTCTCTCAATTCAAGTATAGATTTACATACCAGTCTTTCCAAACCCATGAGGTAGAATAATAATGCCCAGCATTCCCAGCCAGCCCTTGACCACTGGAGCCACATAATGCCATCAGAATAAAAGCTGGCATATAGAGAAGGCAGCAGAGGAAAAGGATGAGAACCCAACAGTAAGCAAGAGAAGTCTATATATTCGATTCAGCAGTGTGTATTAGGATAGGTTTGGAAACCAAAGGATATGTGGGAGAAGGGCAAAGATCCCAGTGGGAAAGTCTGTGCGTTCAACCTGGCATCCCTCTAATCAGAGTAGAAACATGCCCCCATAATGCCATTTCACAATGCTAAAGTCAAATGTTGACTTTGTCTCCTCCCTACCCCGCAGCTGAGGCTGCTTAAAATCATCTTTAGATGTTCCAGTTTTAAAGTAGTGTTTTCCTCTTCTGCTGCTAATTGTGTACCTCACTGAAGGTCAGTTTAAACAGGGAAGAGAGCTGGATTCTGCCAGCTGTGGATTGCTGGTCCTATCACCAGTGGGTGCATTACAGGTTTTCCAAAGCTTCAGCTGACAAGCGGTTTTTCATGGGGGACTTTTTCTTTCTTTTTTAATTACGTTTAGGGGTAGCAGCACATTTTGCTATCCCATTTTGCCTCCTCCGTGGGTGACTTATGGGTGCTGCCAGTTGTAGTACTTCTTGTCAGCACTGCCATGGCCTCGAAGCATACTTTTCTGCCAGCTCAAGGATTGGGAGATAGCATTTTAGCATGGCTGATTGGCTGTGTTCTATGTTGCAGAGTTGGGTAGGATTTTTTGGTTTTTGGGGGGAGGGGTACTTAAGAGAAAAAGTCTTCTTCTCTTTTTCTTAAGAGAAAAAGGATATGTGGGAGAAGGGCAAAGGGCTTTTTCTTAAGAAAAAAGAAAAGAAAACTAAGCTTATTTCAAAGCTTACGCTACAATTCTCATGTGTTTCTCTCTTCTCAGACTGGTTGAATTGCAGCAACTATGACCACAAGGGTTTGGGGGATCTGCAAGAAACAGATGGGGAGGGCATGCAGCCCAGGGCTTCACAGTGCCCACTGCTGCTATGGGGCACATGAGTAAGTGGTTACCCCTTTCCCCACTTTGGGTCCTCAAATGCTTCTGGATACCACTCCCATAATCTCTGAACATTATCTATACTGGCTGAGGATTAGAGAAGTTGTTATCCACCCGTCTGCAGACCCAAGGTGGCATCAGACACCTCCCTTCGCCTTCTTTTCAGTTCCAAACTCCGCTAATCGTTCGCTGCTTTGGTTGCAGAAAACGGCAGCTGCAATCCTCTGCTCCGCTACTCGGGACTAAGTCCCAGTTAATGACGGAGGACTCATTCCCGGAACGAAGAGCTCTCCGTGACGCCTCTCCTTCGGGTTCAGGCCGGTCCCAAAGGAGAATAAGGGGACGGGGCTGAGCAGGCGCAGTTGGGCCAGGCTGGGAGAGAGGGGGGAAGAAAACGGCTCCTATCGCCGAGGAAAGAGTTAACGGCTCCAGAAACCTAACACCCTGCCGAGCCCGAAGAGGAGAAAAAGGGAAGGGAGCGAGGGAAGGCATAGACGCTCTTCGGCGGGCTCGGAACCCAAGCCGGCGGTTTGAGGCGCCTGTGTGCCAGCAAGAAGCTAAAGAAACCCCCAGGCCGGCTTCGCGAGCAGAGGTCAGCCAATGCGCAGGAGGGACTGAGCAGCGAGCGGAGGAGCAACGAGGACTTCTACAAAGACCTGCGGCGACGCGCATCTCCACTGGGGTGAGCCTCCCGGGTGCTGCACTGAGTGAGGGAGCCCGCGGGCGCCAGACCTCTCTGCAGACTGCAACCCCCCTTCCTTCCCTCCCGATTTTGCAAACTCCCGAACTCCGGCCGAGCTAGTATTCAGACGCACCCGGCTTCGGCGTCCCTCCGTCCCTCCCCCGTCGCGGTGCTGCGGCTCCGCCAAGTCCACCTCCGCCCCTTCGGCGAAGCTTGCATAGCTCTGCCTTCCGGAGCGCTCGACAGACGTCCCAAGAGGGATGCGCCGCGCGAGGCTGGGGTCGGGCGGGATCCGCGGGAGGGTGACTGGCTTCATTCCGGCGCAGAAGGCAACTGTTTAGCGTCTTCGACGGTCGGTTTCTAAACAGAGACGATTAGAGTGAGAATTCCTTCCAGCATCCCTACCCGAGCAAAAATAACAAAATCGCGATTTAAAATAATAGCAAATTGGTCCAAGCCACAAGGTTTCACTGGCGTGTTATTTTGGCTCCCCCCGTTACTTGGGTTCCCATTGTGCAGCTCTCAAAACTGAGTCCAGCTGTTGTAGCATTATATCGTTGGTTAAGCACCAAAATCATACAAGTGGGACGCCCCTCAGTCACAACTTGGCAGTGCAGGGTGTGTGTGTGTAGGGGGGAATGCTTGGAAGCTGGGAGTGGTCCAGAATGAAAACAGAAAGCTGACAGTTCCAGCAGAACAGTGTTTCTCAACCTCAGCAATGTTAAGATGTGTGGACTTCAAGTCCACACATCGTAAAGCATGCTGGCTGAGGAATTCTGGGAGCTGAAGTCTACACATCTTTAAGTTGCTGCGGTTGAGAAACACTGCAATAGAATTTGAAGAATATGTAGAATATATCATGTGGAAATGATATAGGGAAGAGCAGCTATGGTCAATAGACAAACATAGACAAAAATAAAAAAAACAAAAGTCTTGTGAAGGTCAGTAGACCAGTAGTTCCTGCAGAATATAGCAGGCAGCCTAATTATGAATGATGACCAAAGTCAGGGCCCAGCCACCAGAGGAGTGAGGAAAGGGAGCCCATGGGAGACCTATCTCATCTATTAGAGCAACACACTTCCCCCATGCAAATTCTGATGTCCACATAGGAGGTGTTATGTCGCTGCAAGAGGGAAAACAGTACTTCATGTCCTAATGCCCCAGTGGGCTGCAGTGAGATGAAGGTTGCAGGTTGGGGAAATGCCCCTAAACAGTAAGTGGCCCATCATCCTAATGTCACAACGAGGCGGCCATGTGGATAAGCCCTATTTGAACAAATAAACTGCATCTTTAGTAGGTTCTTGCAACTTAGGACAGAGATTACCTGAGGATAAATGGCTCCAAATAAGGTTTTGCTTCTGTTTCAAAAGGCTTTTAACATTTATAACATGATCATTTCAATTTAAAGAATGACTTATTGATTTAAGGATAGGGAATATTGTTGTTGTTTTAAGGACATTAGTGGCAACTGTTTTCCCATCTTCTCCCCTTCACCAGTGATCAATATTTTAGTTACCTTCCTGTTCAGCTGTTTCATCTAGAACTTCCCTCCCACGACAATTATTTTAACAAAAGAATTGAAAAAAAAATAGCAGTGCTTAAGTCATCAAAGTGAAAAGATCACTGTCTAGATATTGTCATGGCTTTAATGAAAGTACCTGCTTAAAGAGAGGGTAAAGGACAGTTAAACTAGTTAATTATTTAAGGACAGCCTAAATTAAAAACTGTTGACAGGAACTAGGGGGCAGCAGCACCAAGGTGATCTTGGCTGATCTACAAAAAGTAAGTAAGTAACTCTAGGCCGTAGGCGATTCTGGGCAACCCCCCCCCCCTCCACAAAAGTCCAACCCCATCCTCAGAGAAGGCAGTTGCAAGAAAACTACATGGAGATATCTATGCATTTACCAGGAGTTGAGCTTAGTTCAGGGGACTGCTTACTTTCAATTAGAAAAAAAAAGAAAAATTAAATGTTTCTGTACCTAAAAATGATAACTGCTCATTTTATGGGTTTCTGAAGCTAACTATTTACAGACGGTCAATTGTGGGACCAAAGCTAGATACGGCAAGGGAAATCAGGATGTTCTGCAGCTGTTATAGAGTAAGGATTTGTACTGGATCTTTAGTGTAGATGCTAGGATTATTTTTACCCATGTAGTTTTTTCATCTTACATCTCTATTCCCACTCAAAAGGAAAAGACCCAGATACCTATAGGGATCAGCTCTAAAATCAGTTGCACCCACAATGAGAAATAATTTGTTTATAGATCACCTAGTGATCTGTATTGTACAACTGAGTAATAGCCACTTTCCCTTCCATCATGACTCAATAACTTGTGCAGAATGGAGGCAGAAAATATCTGTACAAAAGGAATTTATGTGCCCTTTATTTCCTCGCCAAAATAAGTTCCAGGGTCAATACATTTATTAAAGTATAATATTTGTGAACTCATAGATGCATTGAGTATTATCCCAAGGGAGAATTACTAATGGTTGGAGAAGTAAAAATAATAAAAAGGAGAGATTAGAGGGAAATGAAATGTAAAGAGTGCAGACAGTGTGTGTTACCGCTAAAGATAATAGCCATTCACAGAATAGTTGCTGGGTCTGGCACAATACATTTTCCCCTTGATGAGCTGACTGACATATTGAAGTGGGATAACAGACTATTTCTCATGTGTTAGACAGAGATGAATGTCAGAACTAATGGATTTTAAGTCAGCTGTTTTGGGAGGAAGTTGGCCACTGTAAAACATCAATGGCAAGAAGATTCTGCCTGCTTGCCTTCCTTATTACTTCTGATTTGTTCTTATAGGAAAATGAGGTACCTGGCCATTTCATAGTGGCTCCATTCTGGTTCCCTTTCCTTTTCACTGAACTCTCTTGCAGTTCACAATGGAAGCCATCCGAATCCGCATGCCCCTGGCCTTCCTCGTGCTCCCACTTGTGGTGCTTGGGGCTCCCAGTGAGGAGCTTGGCCCACAGGAAGTCACCACCAGCTTGAATGGCTGCAAGAGATGCTGTGACTCCCTGGACGTCCCTGGGTCCTCCAAAGCCGGTCATGGTGCAGATAGACCTCACTCTTTGCCATTTGTAGTGCCAGAAGTTCGCCCATATATCAACATCACAATTCTGAAAGGTAAGCTTGTATTTGTCCTCTGTTACTTTCTGAATCATGCTACTTTCACGCTGTTTCCGTCTCATTTCATCTCTGTACCTAGAATCAAACTGGAAGCTTCCTTGGCAGGATCTTGTGATTTGTTTATTTACCTTAGCAAACCACCATGTACATTATTGTGCTGAAGACATGGGAATCATCTTTCCCAAGCCAGTAACTGTCAGACACCATGGAAATGCTTCTTTAGGGAAAGAATGCTGGACCACATTGAACTTTTAGTCTTATATTCCATGGCTTTACTAGCGAAAGATGTTGGGAAATATAGTCTAAAACATCTGGACAGTGAGAAGTTGGAAAAGGCTGCTATAAAGTCCCAGGATTGGCTCCATTTGGTTAAAAATGCCTAGAATCAGTACAGATGAGGACCAAAACATACCCACTTCTTCAGCCAAAATTAATGCATGTTTTAATACAGATAAAGCAGAGGCTGCTACAAGTGTGGCATGTATACTTTACTTAGGTATGGCTTTCACTTAAAACTCTCCTTCTCCAGCTGGGTCATCCAAGCATCTCCTCCGGGAAAGAGCTGTTGCCATGTGTTCCATCACATCCTGCCTCACTTCTTGTGTTCTACCTCCCTTTCTGGAATTTTGTACTACCCTATAATTGTGGTTGCCAGAGATGATACACATGCATGAAAATACACTGTAAGGCAAGGTTCTGAAGCCACCCACCAGCAGCGGTTGTCCTCCACAGCTTCTCCCTTTCTTTCTTTCTCTCCCTCTTTCCACAGGGGAAAAAGGAGATCAAGGACAGCCTGGAGTTCCTGGGAAATGGGGCAAAGAGGGACCCCCCGGTGATCAGGGACCCCAGGGCCCAAAGGGCAGCAAGGGACAAATGGGGGCACCTGGAGATCCCTGCAAGCACCAGTATGCAGCTTTCTCAGTGGGCCGGAAGAAGGCTCTCCACAGTAATGAAGGCTACCAAGCTTTGATCTTTGACACTGTCTTTGTGAACCTCTATAGCCACTTTGACATGTTTAAGGGCAAGTTCTACTGCTATGTGGCAGGCTTGTATTTTTTCAGTCTCAATGTCCACACCTGGAATTTCAAGGAGACCTACATGCATGTCATGCGGAATGACCAAGAGGAGGTCATTCTCTATGCTCAGCCCAGTGACCGCAGCATTATGCAAAGCCAGAGTCTGATGCTGGAGCTGCGGGAGAATGATGAGGTTTGGGTGCGTCTCTACAAGCGAGAGCGTGACAATGCCATCTACAGTGATGACGTGGATGTCTACATCACTTTCAGTGGCTATTTGATCAAGCCCAGTCTTGAATAGCTGTTTTCCTCCAAAGCACAAATTCATCCTCCAAACTTCCTCTTGATTTCCTATGAACTACTGCAGATAATATAGAAAATGACCAAAAGATCTGAAAAGAGAGAGAGCACTGAAGAAAACTTTTTTTTTTTTTCATTTTCCTTTTGAGAATGCCAACTGGAAAAAATAGTACTCTTGGGTCAAAAAAATTCCAGAAAAGTCATGCTGATTTATTTGTCATCCTCAATGGCAGATGGCAACTGCAAGGTATGGGCTGGAAATCTTAAGTGGTCTTATGAAATTTCTGTATCTGCTAACTCAGAATCATTTTGTGAACATCTTTGTTTGGACATGGTTCTTCCTGAGCAGAATGTTCTAATTTGGATTGTTTACATGAGAGAAAATCCTTGATTTGAGTTGTCTCAAGTGAGTTAAGCCTCCATATCGATCTCAAACCAAATGTAGGCCAGCCAAGATATATTATTTTGACATTTCAAGTGCATGACAGCCCCCTTATTTTTGCAAAGTGTTCCTGGTGGTAGTTGATAGGCTGCAGTCGGCCTCACAAAATTTACACTTGTAAATGTTATACAGGGCTGGCAAATGTAACTGTGATTTGTACAACTGTCTAGTACACTTGTTATACACTGTATAACTTAGGGATCTCTTCCGTCACCATGTTAAAAACATGCAGAATTGTCCTCATTAGGATTTACTTCAGACAGCAAAAGGGTTAAAAAGTAATGCCTCTAATTTCTCCCAGAAATCAGAAGGTTCCTAAAGAGGTTCCATGCTGGTGCCCGAATTCATGTGTTATAATTGATTGAATTGCAGCAAATCTATAAATCCATTACCAAATCCACTTTCATTCAGCTGACACAGATTGATATTTCAGATTTTCCCATAGGCAGGTCACTCAAAGGACATGAGTTGGGCAAAAAATCAGTGGGGCTTCCTTTAGTATCGCTGTGAGCTGGCCTATAGCCCATAGTAGAATTAGTTACTGAGGCTGGGCAGTGCTTCAGATTCTAAGGGGGAAAATTCTTTGCAGCGTGCATACATAGCACCTGGCAGCAACTTCTTAAAGCAAACAGATCTTTTCCAGAGAGCATGCTGCAGCTGTGCGATCCTAGGAAAATATGCAGCTGTTTTAAAGCATTTCCAACAAGTGCTATATGATGCCCCCAGATACTCTGAAGTACCTCTTCCCTTCGAGTCTAAGCCACTGTGTAGCTCTACTGGTTCACTGGGTAAACTATTCATTGTAAGGGCAAAAGGTCCCAAGGAATTATAAGCAAAAGAAAGATACAAAGGCTTGCGTATCAGCTTCTCTCATTGAGGGCAGCAAGTGCCATTTCTACATATGGAGAGAAAAGGGCCCAGGCTAGCGTTCTCTTGCTAAAGCTCTAAAAGAAATAGGCTACTCCAAGGATGGAAAAACATAGAGGAAAGAAGGTTTCTAGATGGAACTTTTACTTTCTGATTCTTACATGAGACCTGCAAAAAAATACTGCAAAGTGGAATACTCCGGTTCAAGATGCAGCATACCCTCTAGCAGGAAAGTGCATTTTATTCTCCATTTTCCCTGGTTTTCCATTCCCCTGCTGTCCCAACAATCACCATCAAATAAGTGCAAAATATGCTGCTTGGGGAATGGAACTTTCTGAAGAACTCTGGATGCCACCGATCTAGTCATTCAGAGAGTGGTCTGGAAGTTTTCTGGAAGTTAACCTTCCAACCCAGAAGTGTCCATCCAGAATTTTTCACATCATCATATCATGGTAAATCACAATCATTTAAGAGGATATAAAGGCACATTTCTTTTCCTATCCCATCCCCATTTCCACTCTTCACACAACGTAAAATTAGGTATGTATAAGATAGTTAAGGTGAGCTCTTTTTTTCCCCCCCTAAGCACTGCTTAGTTGATATATGGGAATTATAATGCTGACCCACCATATAGGGTTGTGGTCAGGATACTATAGATCAGCTTCTGCCAACCTGGTACCTTGAAGATAAGGCAGGATGATAACCCCTAATGCATCTGTTGTAGTCCAAAACATCTGGAGAGCACCAGCTTGGGAAAGACTGCTTTAAGTAAAACACTGAGCAGTTCTTAAAGTGTGACTTAGATGCTAAAGAATTCATATCATGATGCACTGTATGTTAACAGTACCTTTTGTGTATGGATGGTGAATATATACAGACACCATGCCTTATGCATTTGCTGCCTCTTCCACTCACGGGTAACTAAGCATGGTACAACAATAGGTAATTTCAAACCAAGAGGCTTCTCAGTCTATTCAGAAAAAAATGGAGGTGGACAGGACATGCATTTTTGTTTTGACCTGGTGGGTAACCTTGTACGGTGGGGCTGTGGGAAGTGTCAGGGTGCCTGTTTTTGTAATACAGGGAAGGCTGTAGCTGATTGCATAACATACTGAATTCCTTCTCTCTGCAAAGTAGTGGTTAAAAAACCAGCTGTTGGCTGTTTGCAACACATGGCGTCCCTGTGTCTCCGGAGGGAACAACCAGAATTTCTAGCACTGAATTGCTTCCAGATGTGAGCCCTGAACTCTTTGAGCCCTTGCCTCAATTCCTGCCTCAGCAGAACTCCCTCAAGTGCTTCTCCTGGGAAGCCGCATCTAAAGCACAAGGACAAAGTCTGTGCATAGTTGTTATGAGGCAGTAGGCCTGCTTTTTGGTGCTATATAAAAACCCTTATAATTCTTGGTGCTAAAGAAACTTTTGATGCCAAATTTGACTGAAAAATAATTTGACTTTGCTGGGAGATATGTTGGGGGTAACATAGACAGGAAGGCCTGTGGAATTTATGGTGCTTTGTGGCAAGTCAAATCATCAAACAATGGTTTGTGTGTGTATATATGTGTGTCTGTATCTTTTAAATATTAAAACTTCTTGATTGCACTTTGAGTTGGCCTTTTCTTTGTAGGGCTTTTTTCCATGAGATTACAAGATTTTAGTGTCCTTAAGAAGAGTACAAAGGTCATTTTTAGTGGGAATATTTCTAAAATATAAGAGAACCAGCAGGCAGACTGATGGGAGAAAGACTGCACATACTGTGGAAAGAATGTTTAAGGCATGAGGAAATTGAGGGTAATAAACAATTCCCATGCCTTGTCAAACATCCCAGCGACCCCTTTCAGTACACTGGGCTACTTTGTAGGAATTGAAAAGATGGAAGAGCAGGACAGTAATAGTTTGACTGGTAGTTACTAGGAGTCATCTAGCTGGAAGCAGCCTCAAATGTGATTGGCTTTGCTTAAGGCTCAGAATGATACGTGCAAAAGCCTTTAGGTATTTGCTTTTCGGTGGTGCTAAGTGTCTACAAAGGGATGAAAAGCAGACAATAGACATGTCCCTGGATTCTCCCACAACTACACACAACAGATGTAGTACATTTGTAGTGAATCAGTATCATTCTGACTGCAGGAAAACTATTGGAAAAGCTCCAGTCTAATCTTTGTTTTTCTTTTTGTATAGGATTTCCCCCCTCATATCACACAACCTTATAATGGAATGGTAGAAGTGTTCAAAAACAGGAGATACGGGAAGTTTTTGAGCACTAGTCCTCAGATTCAACTCTTTGCCATTTGTGGGAAAGTCCTTAAAATAATGTTTTCAAATAGTGTGTGTGGAGAATCAGTGTTCTCTGTGCAACTTGAAAGTACTGAAAAATACCACTAAAAAGGTCGTGGGATGAAAATTCACAAAAAATGGGAGCTTTTATGTGAAAGGTACTAAATGTCCTACTCCCTTTTTCTTCAGCATATATTGAAATAGAATAAATGTGCCTTTTCTAAGACATTAACAAATCTCAGTATAGACACTAATGAAATTTACTGTCATACGCAACTCATACATCATATTAAGACTTACACTCAATGTATTAACTATAAGAAAAAATAAAAGCATTATGAAAACATGCTTTATTTTAATGTTCTTTTTCTCTTCTCTTCTCTTTCCTTTTTCCTTTTTTTTTTCTTTTCTTTCTAGAATATAGTCATATGTATTCCCAGCTAGAGATTGTTTTTTGTGCCAAATCAGATATGCTAGTGGCAGTCCTGTTTTGCATGTATATTTATTCTGTTTGCATACGAAACAGGCAGAATAGAAGGTCTGAGTTTAGTATAAAAGGGGATATGTACATACATAAAGTGCCTTTGAATCAGTGTTGACTCCTGGCGACTACCTGGACTAGTCCCTGCAGTTTTCTTGGCAAGATTTCAGAAATGGTTTGCCCTTGCCTGCTTCCTAGGGCTGAGACAGAGTGACTGGCTCAAGGTCACCCAGCTGGCTTTGTGCCTAAGGCAGGACTAGAACTCATGGTCTCTCAGTTTCTAGCATGGCACTTTAACTACTATTCTCTCTCTCTCTCTCTCTCTCTCTCTCTCTCTCTCTCTCTCTGAATGGGGTAAGTAGATAGGTCAGGGCAACTGTCTTTTCTACATTCAAGGACCTCAGCCGCCATTTTCCCCAGCATGTTATTTATGTGTGGGATGTCTTAACAAAATGTGGCTGGTGCTAGCATGCTTATTTTGGCCCTGAGTACTGACCCTAGTGTGTGGTTTCCTCTTTCCTACAGGTTTTTCATCTGATAAAAATCTACGTATACAGAATAGTTTTTGAAAGAAAGTGCTTCTTGGAACAGAGGTGGTTTGGTTTTTACACTTTTAATCTAGGGCAGCCAGGGCTACCTCAAGAGCAACTTGGACTGGGTGTCTTCTCCAAGTTACATCATCCATCTGTAGGTCCTAGTGAGCCTATTAGGCAAGAGCAGGGCTCCAATTTGCTCCAGGCACCTGGATCTGGCTACTATGTTAAATTTCCACAGCACCTCTGCTAACACCAGTAATATGTTTCACTGAAAAATGTATATAAAGGACACATTTAAATTAAAAAAAAAAAAGTAAACAAACACAGATGCATCATACTGTGCCAGGCCTGCTTTTTTGTTTTTTGTTTTTTGTTTTTTTTAGCAGTGATGTCCTGCTAAATGTATCCCACATGTTCCCAAGAATAACAGTTATTGCCACTAGAGTTCTTGTTGAGGGTATAGGTGAGGGACCTTTGATGACTAAGGTTGTACCTCTAATGTGGGGGGAAGAGCATGATGGGCTGGACAGTAGGCAGGGTTAAGCTGGACTGTTCTTGGAGTTTCCTACATCAAAATGATGGGGAAACATGTCACTGATTTTCAGTTACTGTGGTCAGAGGATGTTCCTGTTGATGCCAAAAGAAGAGGCTTGAAGGCCCATGCACTCTGAGGCCATAAGTGCCCCCACACACACATCTGCCCCTTTTAAATCTTTTATTTAACAGATTTTATAGTTGAAGATTTTCTTCCCATAATTTCCATTCCATGCCAGAAAAGATTCTGTGAGCCTTTGAGATAGGCAAGGTCAAGAAACAGGAGCAGCAGGGGGTTCAAGGAAGCTAGATACACACATCATCTCATTAATCAGGTTGAGTGCCAGGAAAAAGGGTTAGGTTCTAGAATATTGGAAACTAGACAAATATACCTCAGCCCTCATTTGTTAGTGAGAACATTAACACAGCATCATTGTGAGCTGTTTGATCTCTTTTTCAGATTCCCTAATGGATGGACTGACATCTGTCTTAAGAGCTAAAGCTGAAATGTCTATCTGGTCCTCATTCTCTATATTTCAAAAACCTGCTTTTTTCCCCAGACTCAAAGCATGTGGTTGCAGCATGATATATCACTTCAGTGTTTCTATTCAATTGCTTAGAATTGCATAAGGAAACACAGGAATGAATGCTGTAACTTCTTGCCTTCCTCAGGTGAAAAGTGAATATCTCTGTGAGTTAATTTTACTCATACAGGGATATCTTTATACAATTTTCCAACATTTGCCTTAGCATAGGAAGAACAGGGTCATGCTTACTTGTCCCACTGCCTCTATCCTTCTGTGTGCTAGTCCTACCCACCCCCTCCCTGAGCAGAATAACACGATTTGTATAGTGGCTATTTCTGCAATAACATGAACACCAGTTCTTGTTAGGATCATGGATCTTGCTCTATCAGGATCTATGACTGTTAAAAGAGCTATGTGGATATGCAAATGAATGTCCGTAGAACTCACTTTCAGAGTTTGCTATTTTGCACAGCAAGATCAGGGATCTGATGGAGTGAGCCTAATATGCACAAAAATATATGGGGTAGAATAGTAGTTCTGTTGTTGAAATCCATAATAGTCCAGTTGTGAATTCCAGCCTATAAGTTGAAGACATGCTATATTCCAGTCCTGAGCTATGAAGTGCTGCAGTTAACTACAGTTTCCACACATAGTATGGAGAATACGTATATACAGATACTCATATGTTCCCATATAGAGGGAAAGTACTTCGCGTTTGGCTTAGCTTGGGTTATGAAGCCAAGTTAGCTTGGGTTATGAAGCCAAGATATAACACTGGGAGAAGTTCCTCATTAATTTCACTCTAGAAAAAAAGTCAAATGATAGGTATGTATGTACCACATCCTGAGCTATATTGGTTATACTTCAGTTGCCATGTAAGCCCAGAAATTTTAATGAATGGACCATGGTTAACCACAGATAAAAGTGTCATGTGAATAGAACCTCAATGTTTTTGGATTGCCAGCCATAAAAACCAGTTGTGAAGGACTCCACTTTCTGATGGTTTGGGCTAGAGCGTCTTCTGTGCCACTACCTCTGTCTAATACCCAATCTATTGTTTCATTTGCATCTGCATCGATTTCTAATAGGGCCTAGAGAGTTAGTGGGGAGACATGATTGTGTCATTTAGATTGAAAAAAAGTTAAAAAGTTAAAATATTCCCTTTCTTGGACTCTGTGGCTTCAGTCAAATTTAGAGTCCTATGCAAAAGCTTTTTTACATTAACAATGTCAAAAGATTTGATTAATCAGTCTTCTGCATCAATGTTATTTGGTCTTAAATTCTATTAGTAGGGCATTAATCAGTTGCAGATCCTTTGTGTAACTTTAACCTTGCTTATAAGATTCAGTACCTTTCCCCTCACCAGCAATTTCTAAATGGGGGTATTAATGCCTTAACTATCATGCTGTTGCCTTTCAATTCCAACTTGAGAGAACTGAAGTACAAAAATCAAAATGAAGTAACAGCTTGTTTTTCAATGGATAATATGGATCCTAAAAGGGTTTTCCATTATCTGGTATCCTGTTCCAAATACTGCAGCTGGTGACAATGCAGTACACATAAGAAGGGACTTATCTATCCAGATCTGACCCATTTAGGCCAATTCAACTGCCATTTATGACTTTAGAGTGATCATGTTCAGGACCAGGAAACTTTTCAATTGTTGTTGTTTTTCTGGTGATTTGTGGTTTCCACACCAGTTTAAAGGAGCCAATGAGAAAGTACCAGGTAAGTAAATTGTGTGCAGTTGAAAGCATAGTGGCATACCACACCCAGATGTAGGTCTCTTTGCTACAGGAACAAAAACAATACCACATGTTCTTAAAGAAGGAAAGTGAAAGATAATCCTAAGGGGGACACAGGAGGGGGAAGCAGAAAGTCCAAAACAGCAAGAAGAATCACAGAAAGCAGAACTTTCAAATCTCACTGAGAGGATGATAAGGGGGAGAGTAGAACAAGGCATGGCAGGAGATCGAGGCTCAGAGCTGAACCTGGGTTTAGAAATTCAAGACTGCAAATGGGTTGAGGTGTTTCATGTTTAAAACTTATTTCTCTAAACCTTTCTTCAAGAGGTTAGGGATATAGTCCAATCAGCTGTGGACAGTTACTGCTGTTGTCATTACTATTTAATCAAATTATATAGCTACACTACTCAGCACATGACTCAGGGCTATCTTATCCTAAAGAGAGCATTTCCTGATGAGAAATATTCTGAGGTGTTATTCCTAAAGAGGAATACTACGGTGATGTGCAGTTCCTGCAAATAAATGTTCATCTCCACAAATGCTTCCTTGGTTGGGTGATCTCTCTCTTTCCACTATTAATATTTAAATATTTATCACACCAAAGAAAATGAGTAAGACATCTGCA